CTGATAAGGCACTTGAATCCAGAATATGTGAGGAATTCTTATACCTCAATAATAAAAAGAAAATTTACCAGTTAGAAACAGCAAAAGATTTAAATACACATTCTCCAAAGAAGATATAAAAATGGCTAATAGCATGTGAAAAGATACTCAACACCCTTAGCCATTAGGGAAATACAAACCAAAATCAAAACTATGTTTAAAAATACAGATTATAATAAGCATTAGTGCAGATGTGGAGAAATTGGAACCCTCATACATGTTGGTGGGATTATAAAATGATGAAGCTTCTTTGGAAAAAGGTTTGGCTCCTCAAAATGTTAAACCTAAAGTTACCATATGAATCATAATTCTCTTCCTAGATATACATACAAGAGAAATGAAAACATATGTCCACACAATCCCTGCAAACAAATATAACATCCAAAAAAGCAGAAATAACCCAAATATCCACTAACTGGTGAATGAAGAAATAAAATGTAGTATATTCATACAACGGAAAATTATTCAGCCACAGAAAGGAAGGAAGTACTAATACATACTACGTCATGGATGAACCTAGAAAACATGCTGAGTAAAAGCCAGTCACAAAAGACCACATATTATAAGATTCCATTTATATGAAATGTCCAAATAGGCTAATCTATGAGACAGAAAGTAGATTTATTGGATGCCTGGGACTGGGGTGGGAGAGAATGAGGAGTGACTGTTAACGAGTATGGATTTCCTGGGGAAAGGGGGTGATAAAAAGGTTCTAAAAGTAGATAGTGGTGATAATTGTACAACTCTGTGAATACACTAAAAACCTTTGAATAGTACCCTTTAGTTGGATAAATTATATAGCATGTGAATTATATCTTAATAAAGCTGTTTGCATTTTTAAGAGTACAATGTAGGGGGGAAAAAGAAGTTTACAATCAAGAGGATCAACCTTCAAAGTAAGTTTGAGGTGGCAAAATAGAGTGTAATATTTCTATATTTAGCTTTGATATTCTAACTTTAGTAAGAGCCTAGACTTGCAAGATTATACTTAGCATTCCATCCTCAGACATAGAGGATTTGTCCTTTCTTCACAAGAACCACCTTTATTGCTTTTGTTTTAAAAATGCACACTGTATTTAGAGTACATTAAAAATTAGTCTCTTATTTACATTTTGTGCAGTACCTGTATCTAGTGTCCCCAAAGTGTTTTAGCAGAGTAATAGTTTCCTTTAGCTACAGGTGGTAGCAATATAAAGATGAAGGACTTTGTTTCCTCTACCATGGCCCTCACAAGTATAATAGTTGGGTGTCCAGGCTGTGAGATCAGATTGTCTGGACTCTTTCAGGCAATGTGAATTTGGGAGAGGTTCTTGTTCTCAGTTTTCCTATCTGTAAAGGGGACAGGGTAGAGGTACTAAAACTACTTACTTCATAACGTTGTTCTGAGAATGAAAGAAAATAATGCATGTAAAGTACTTAGCACAGTGTCAAGTATAGTAAAGGCTCAAATTATAGTTGTTATTAATTATAATATAGCAACAGTTAGTAATAGATCGAGATTATTAAGAAACAGGTAAAAACAAGTTGTAATGTGGTTGAGAACTGGGGTTAGCATCCTAAAAGTAAGTGAGGGTTGTAAGGAGGTATAATATTGTTTCTCAGTTTCATAAACATTAGGCAAACATATGGATATTTAATCAATATATTTGCACAGTTTTCAGCATTTACTGTTTAGAGAGCTTACTATAGATAAGGCTGTGGAATTGCCTATTTTTCAGAGAACAATATGTGATTTAAGTTTGCTACAGAAAGCTGATATTTTAGGCTACATTTCTCATTGGTGGTATCTTATAACTTGTCACTTTACAACTCATGCCTTTAATTTGAGTAACAGTCTACCAAGAAGTCTCGTTTTTTTTTTCTCCCTTGAGGTTTATTCAGCAATATTTTTTTTCTATTCAAAGTAGCAGGGACATTTACATATTTTTAAAAATTATTTTAACTTCTTGGGAGAAAGGAAACTTCAGTAAAAATGGTTACTTATAAGATAATAACTGATTTGAGATGTAAAAGAGTTACCATTTTGAGCTTTATTTGTATACTTTAAAAATGATTTTTAAAACTTTCCTGGATTAACCAAAATTCCAGGAGAGAAGGAAGTTGAAAGTGCTTACAAGTTTTTTCCCTTTCCCTAAATTTTATGCTACATTGATAGGTAAATTCTCTGAAGAGCATAAGTGAACCTCATAAATTCACAGCCATAAGCGAAATAAACCAATCAGAGAAAGACAAATACCACATGATCTCACTTATTTGTGGAATATAATGAACAAGGTGGGCTGATGAACAAAATAGACCCAGAGACACAGAGAGGAGTATGGTTCAGACTGACAAACCTAACAGGAGGGGGGCGGGGGGATAGATGAGATGAACCAAAGAACTTATATGCATGTATGCGTAACCAATGGACATAGACAACAATTCTGGGGGTGGGGGGGTCGGGGGTGGGGAAGGTGGGATGGGGAGGAGGGAATCAAGGGGGGAAAAAGGAGAAACATCTGTAACAAAAATAAATTAATAAAAATTGGAAGAAAAAAATAAATTCACAACCATACAATTCCCTTATGTGTAGCTTATATTTAAATATTCTTATTGTAATATTGCTTGGTGATCATAAAAATCTGTTTGAAGCAACCAGGGATCTGTACATAGGATAAAAATGACTAAGAACAGGCCAGCCCCGCTCCCCAGATTATGGCAGGAGTAGGTGCGTTAGTCTCTCTGTGCTTTATTTTTCTCACCTTAGAAATGAAACAATACTTTTCTCATGGAGTTGATGTGAGGACGGAATGAGATCACACATGTAAAGTGTACCAAGCACATAGTAAAATACAAAGTTTTAGCTCCTAATATTGTTGTGGCAGCAGCCAGCAAGAGTAAATTGTAGCATATGTCTCAAAGATGTAGCTATTAACAGTCCTTGGTAAAGAGAAAAGGTTTTTAAAGCATGGAGATCTTCCAAATTGCACTTAAGGGGCATGAAGAATGTGGAAAAACAAAACAAAACAAAACTCCTTGTCTTTCATCTTGGTAGGAGCCACAAGAGCCGGAGCTTGTAGAAAGGAGTGGGGTGTGTGTTTGAGATGGAAGTGTGTGAGGCAGGGAGGGAGGCAACAGAGAAACAGTTGACTTTGAGGAGTTGGGGGCTGGATTTAGAAACAAGAAAACCACCAAGCTTGCTGCCACATGCCTGTAATGTGACCCTGTCTTTTCTTTTCTCTGTTAAGGAATTGATTTAAAATCTCCTCAGAAATTAATTAGATCATATTCGGCCATGTTACATACTGCCCTACATGCAACAATATTTAAATCTAATTAAATATTTGGAAATTAATTAAGAATTGACTGACTTCTATCAGAAGGCAGTTTGGATTAAAGAGTTGATGTCAACAGTCTCATAGTAAAGTTAGAAGTCAGGGTTAACTCCTGGCGCTACCACTTAACAGAAGTGTGAACTTGATGTCATTTCACCTCTGAAATGGTTTCATCATCAGTGAAAATGGGAAAGTACCCACCTCAAAAGCTGTTCAGATTAAGGTTATTCATAACACCTGGAATATAGAGATGCATTTTTTTTTATTATATTGTGTTCATGGAAAAGGGTTTAAAAATTATGATGATATATTTAAACATTTATAGCGTTACCAAATACGCTTCAATACGCATCGACAGTCAATTTCCTTAACAGGTGTTAATATTCTCAACTAATGTCAATGTTTTAGTATATGATAATTTACTGATGTTTTCCTCCCCTCATTTTTCCCCTCTCAGCACACCATACACTCAGATGCTCTAAAATGTTATTTCTTGGCCTGGCTGGTGTGGCTCCGTGGACTGAACGTTTCCCCATGGATTGAGAGGTACTGGTTCCGTGCCCGGTCAGGGCACATGCCCTGCTTTCCCACTGGATCCCCAGTAGGGGATGTGCAGGCGGCAGCTGATAGATGTTTCTCTCCCACATCGATGTTTCTATCTCTCTCCTTCCCTCTCTTTCTAAAGAAAAAAAATCAGTAAAGACATATTTTTAAAAATGACAATATAAATAAAAATAGTTTAAAAATAAAATGTTATTGCTTGGGCCCATTTTACTAACACCTGATCCTTGGCTCGCTGGACACTAATGGACAACTGGGTTGACTCCAGAAAGTGTTTCTACAAACAGTGCCTCTTCGCAACTTGCCCAGTGTCTAGCTGGGGCTCCACTGTCAAGAGTTAACAGTAATTAAAGCATCCGTCGCAAAACTGTGTTTCTCACCCAGGAAAGGCGCGCAGCACTCCCATGTGATAGTTCAACTTGTCCTTTTGATTAATTCCGCTGTCCAAGTTCATTCCGCTGTCCAAGTTCATGTTCCTGCGAGAGGAAGCGTATTCTGCCTCACGCTAAATAGTGTCGATTCATTTTGGGGGGCACAGGAGGGCGACTCCAGCAACTGAGTAGCGAGGGACTTGAATCGAAGCCGATCGGGTCCTGCCTGGGTGAGGCCGGTACCGCACCTCGGCAATCCCCCTAGCCCCGGAAGTTTGGGAGTCTCCAGTTTTAAAATCTGGGAGTCACCTTGACCCTCCCGGAGAGGTGGGGGAAAGTTAGCCCTGGGCCTGAGACGGGGTGAGTAAAAGCAAAGACAGAGTACTTTCGGTAGCAAAATACGGTGTCACGTTTTCCCGTTTTCACCACAGCTCGAGACTCAAGAGAGTTTAAGGGTGGCAAAAGCAGGTGGCAGAACTCCGCCCACCACCGCGGTTCCCCTCCCTCACCTCGCACGCTCCACTCCCTCCGTGAGGTCCCGCCTCTCAGGCGCGCGCGAAGAGTTGTCGCGCCTTGCATTCTGGGAATTGTAGTCCTGGCGCCGGGAGCCGCTTCGGTAGAAGCGACTCTGGCCTACGCGCCCCAGAGTGCCCTGCGGCGCTGGCCGCTCCCGGATGTGTGCCTGGCGCCGGAAGAGAAGACGGCCCCCCTCTCTCAGCCCGGCCATCTTGTGGGAAGAGCTGAAGCAGGCGCTCTTGGCTCGGCGCGGCCCGCTGCAATCCGTGGAGGAACGCGCCGCCGAGCCACCATCATGCCTGGGCATTTACAGGAAGGCTTCGGCTGCGTGGTCACCAACCGATTCGACCAGTTATTTGACGACGAATCGGACCCCTTCGAGGTGTTGAAGGCAGCAGAGAACAAGAAAAAAGAAGCCGGCGGGGGCGGTGTTGGGGGCCCGGGGGCCAAGAGCGCAGCTCAGGCCGCAGCCCAGACCAACTCCAATGCGGCAGGCAAACAGCTGCGTAAAGAGTCCCAGAAAGATCGCAAGAACCCCCTGCCGTCCAACGTTAGCGTGGCTGACAAGAAAGAGGAGACGCAGCCGCCCGTGGCGCTTAAGAAAGAAGGTAAATCTGTGGTAGAAGGTGGGGAAGACCCATGATGAGGGAAGGAGCGGGGCGGACTTGCGACTCACACTTGCTTCTCGAGCTCCGAGCTTTCGCGGGAGGTTTTGCCGCCGATTTCCTCACGTTTCCCCCACACGACAAAAGCAGGTCCTGCGAGCGTGGTAGCCCCAAGTTCAAACCACCGCCTGCAAGGTTCCCGGAGCCACCCCCTTCCCGCCTCAGGTTCTGAGCGCGGAGCGTGGTCCCCAGATAAGCTGCTGCTCAGCGTGCTCGGGACCTTGGGAGGTGGTTGCCTTCCCGCCCGATTCCTCGGGCGAGTGTATGGACTGGGGGCACGGGGAAGCAAGGGGTCCCCCGCTTCTTCCTGCTCCGAGCTCTCCCTCCGCTCTGCTCGGAGGTGCAGTGGTCGGTGTTAGGCTTCTTCCTGCCATCTTGTCCCACGATGGCGTGGGGTGCCCCCGTGGAGAGCCGGGGGTCTGAGTTCACATCAAGCCCCTTCTCTGTTGGAGGTTACCACGTACTGTGGAGTAAGCTACTGCTTCAGGTGCCACATGTGCCGTGTCCCCCCCCCCCCGCACCCCCTCAGCTGTTTTAAACTTAGTAAGTTGCTGGAGTGAGTTAAGCTGTTGGGAAGGAGAGCGAATGGGCTGCATTCGGTGAAGCAGGAGCGGGAGTTGTGAATGGAGAGGGGTTTCAGGCAGTCCCGAGGACCGTCGTCTTGACACGACCCTGTCTCCGAGCCCCGCACTCGCCGTGCGGCGCGGCCCGGCCCTCGTGCTGGAGTGAGCCAGAGGCTGTCACGTTAGCCGAAGCCGAGAGCTCTTTGGAGTCTGGAGCTGTTGCCCCACATGTGCAGGAAGCATGGTCAGGATTTCATTGGCGGGTAATAGTTGCGTCCGGGTCACACTGTAAACCTCACAGGAGTGTCTTAAGCTTGACTTTTGCGTTCTCACTCATTGCTTGTTTGTCTTTTGTGCTGAGTGAAAAAGCAAAACAGTTGAGGACAAGAAAAATAGGTGCAGGACCTATTTTCCTATCAATAGCAAATAGGTGTAGGACCAAAGCTCAATCTTGGGCTGGCTTTCTCTGTTTAAAGTTGAAATTTCGCTTTGCTGCCACGTGCTCCGGAAAGAGGTTGTTTCTCATTAGCTTTAGTTGAGTTTGTTAGCATTTCAACGAATTAAAAAAAATCAAAACAATGGTGTTATATTTTGGTTTTAGGGTTTGCTTTTTTAAAACTAGAACTTCTGTGAGGCTTGGGAATAAAACAAAATAATTCTTGTATTAAAATTACAGGTTGGGGGAAGCACAGGTTGGAGTATTAAAAAGCATGTATACATTGCTTGAGCCAAATATCTGTTTTGTCAACTCAGCATTATAGCAACCTGTAGCACAATTGAATAAATCATTTAATGTGTTAAGGAACACTGGCTTGTGTAATTAAACTGCTCAGCTCTACCTCTTTTTTAAAAAAATTACGTTTTTATTGATTTTTTTAGAGAAAAAGGGGGAGAGAGGTAGAAACATCAATGTCAGAGAACATCGATTGGCTGCCTCCTGCACGCCCCCCTACTGGGGATCGAGCCCACAACCGCGGCATGTGCCCTGACTGGGAATGGAACCAGGACCTCTCAGTCCATGGGACAGTGTTCAGTCTGATGAGCCACACCGGCAGGGCTCAACTTGACCTCTTTGATGAGACTAATCCCAAGAAAGCACATGAAAAAATTGAATCTGAAGTGTAAATCTAAGATGTACAAGGTAGGTGTGTTCACCCATTTTGGATGTTCAAAGGATGAAGCATGTTTGAAATCCCTCAGTTGTTTTGATCATAACGCCCATCTTGAAATAAGCTCTTACCTGAGAACTAGTATTTTAAGTTACAAAGATAGGGAACTATTTCATAAATTTATAACCAGGACTGAGTTTGCCACCCAGTAGTGTTTCCTTGGGAAATCTCCCATATTTAGCTATCAACAATTTCCTTAGATCAGTGTTTCAGAACACTCTTAACTTTAAATTGCATAAAACAAATTTGTAAATAAAGGGGAAATGTTGAATGAAAAATACTCCTTTTGAGATCCTGTTGTCTGTCAGTTGATGTTCTGGGCACTGGGGAAGGATAGACCTATGTACAGGCTCTGCCTCTTGTAGTGGGAAGGATTGTTACCCTGATCATGTGTTCTGTGCCTTTGAAGATAGGGCCTAGTAGAGTGCTAGACATACCCTAGATATGTATTAAATGTTCATATTATAAGAATTAGCTTTGTGTTTTGTCTTTTGTCCATTTGAAGCGCTTGAGAATTGACACCACAGAGTATCACCAAGAATGTATACCAAGGTGTGTGTGTTTTAATTAAAAGCCTGGAATCTAGTGAAAATCAAGTGAGCTTGCAAGTATGGATAAATACATCAAGAGAAGCATGCATTTTTAAATGTCGATTATTGGGTGAATATATTTGATAAGTTTTTTAGATTCTGTAAACCTAATATCGAGTATTGGGTGGGGAAGCAAGCCATTGTTCATTTGGGTGTGTTTGGCTTGGATATCATTATAAAGACTGGTTCTATAGCTCCACCCCAATACACTATAGCTCTGACGAAATTTATTTAAAATGTCTTGGTGTAAGGTCTAACAGTGTGCCTATCCTGAGAGTTTATGTGGAATGGACTTTAAAATTTCATTGAAGAGTTTGATATTTACTGTTTTGCTCTAGTTACAAGCACCTGAACAATTGGGTACATCTTGGTGGTGTTCCACTTTCTTAGAAAAGAACCAGAGTGTATCAACTTGAACTCTTGTTATAAAAATAATTCGTCAGCTGCTGTTTGACTTTGTTGGAAATTGTGGTTTGGGAATTACAGCATACTTGAAATTTTACAATCATGAATTTAACCATCAACCTACCTATTCTTAAGGCCACAAATAATCTATATTGGTTGCCTCTGTGGGCATTAGACACCAACAGGAAAAAAGTAATAAAGGAGGAAATCAGTAAATGCACTGGTAAGAGCAAACCGAAAGAAAAACTCTCCATCTATAATATTAAAATAACGAGTATTTCCTAGAGGTTGCTTAACAGTTTTTTTGTTAGGTTATATACACACACACACACACACACACACACATATACATATATACATATATGTGTATACATGTAAGAACTAGGAGAAGAGGATGGTACTTTTTTTCTGGTTAAATAGCTATTTCAAACTACGGAGATATCCTAAAACCTATTTGTTTTTCTTTCAATTTTGTAATTTTTATAGAATTATCAGTCGTTTTGCTCTTTTGAGGTCCCCCCCCTGATTATGTAAAATAAGAGTGTGACCTTTTAAAAAAATTTTTTTGGTGGGGTCCATATCTGGTGAATGTGTGTAGATTTGCTTGATTGTTATTTATGAATGTTTACTGGTGTTATCTTTGATGTCTTTAAACTCCAAAATGTGTCATTTGCCTAAAATTTCTTTAAATTTAGAATTTTAAATTAAGAGACTGGCATTTTGGAAAGTAAGAGAAATAATGGTTGCCTACCCAGATGACTTCCAAGTCAGTTGCAGAGAGTGTTTTAAGAGGGAAAATGACTTGGTAAACTAGAAGTTTGAAACAAGTTTATTTAAAATAGGAATTTCTCTAAAGTACTATGTTCCACTTTAGAGATGCCCAATGTTTGCCTTTTTCAACAGTAAATGCTAGTTAGTAGACCCAAAGATTAACATTTCTTTTTAAGTGTAGGCCTAAATTTTTTGTGTTGCAGAATTAATTTGCTTATGCTGGTTATTTATCATTTTAGGAATAAGACGTGTTGGTAGAAGACCTGATCAACAACTTCAGGGTGAAGGGAAAATAATTGATAGGAGACCAGAACGGCGACCACCTCGTGAACGACGATTTGAAAAGCCACTTGAAGAAAAGGGTGAAGGAGGAGAATTTTCAGTTGATAGGCAAGATTTTTGAAAATTTCTTAATGTTTTGTCAGTTTATAGAGTCATATCTTAACACAAAGCTATAAATAAGTCATAATTGCCAGGTAGCATTGTGACTGGTTATGTTTTACCAGTTTTTCAAAGAATTGGCTGAATGTATGCATTGTTTTACTTCAAGCATTTCAGTAAGTTTTTAGTGTTCAGCCTTAGCTTAGATTTCTTGTAGTGAAACACTTAATTAAATTGATAGACAATTTCATTTTCTTGCTATCTCCACATGTTAATAGGGAAGTTCTGTTGGGTTGTTTATAGCGAAACAGATTACTCGTTATGCAGGTTATATTTAATTTTTTAAAAAATATTTTTATTGAATTTTAGAGAGAGGAAGGGAGATGGAGATAGAAACATTGATGAGAGAGACACATCAGTCAGCTGCCTCCTGCACACCCCCATATACTGGCAGTTGGGCTCACAAACCGGGCATATGATCTGACTGAGAATCCAACTCGCGACCTCTTGGTCCATGGGTCGATGCTCAGCCACTGAGCCGCACTGGCAGGGCTATATTTGTTTAATTATTAAGTGTATTGGTGAAAAGCATTTTTACTGGATTATAATGTAAAATGAGTAACAAGAAAAAGTACGTGCACTAGTAGTAAATTTTAGACAATATAAAAATAATTTTCTTGTTTGAGGGTTAGCTTTCTAGTTGTTTTGGTTTCCTTTGTGTGTTTAGAAATAGACTTGAAATTTCTAAAACATGTGTTTAACTGTTGGCTTATGAGCCAGTAAATGTATTCCTATATTTTTGAGTTTTTGAATGAATTTTCCTGTTCCTTTTTCTGGAGACCTGGGATGTTTATAATCTTTATTTGTTGTAGACCGATTATTGACCGGCCTATTCGAGGCCGTGGTGGTCTTGGAAGAGGTCGAGGAGGCCGTGGACGTGGAATGGGCCGAGGAGATGGATTTGATTCTCGTGGCAAACGTGAATTTGATAGGCATAGTGGAAGTGATAGATCGTAAGTCTTATATTGGTTTTTATTATATTTTATATTTGATTCTACTTTTTTAATAAAACAAAATTTGAATTTCCAGAACTAAAGAGTATTATGTTAACTCAGTTTTGTTAGTTCTTTTTCACATTACAGTGGCCTGAAGCATGAGGATAAACGTGGAGGTAGCGGATCTCACAACTGGGGAACTGTCAAAGATGAATTAACGTTGGTATTCGGTTTTTTTCAAAAATAATTTTAATAAAATTGATGCTATATCCTACTCTTAATTGGTCCTATACTCATAACTCTTAACTACTATTTGTCCCTGGGACAAGAATGGAATAGCTCTCATGTTACAGCTACTTCCATACAAGATAATACCTTGTTAGATATGATTAGATTAAAATAGCTTAAGTGACCAATTTTTCTATATTTCAGTATGTGTGATACCAGAGTTTCTTTTCATTTGGATATATAGCTTTTCCTTAAATTCTACATTGAAATTATTTGGGTCTTCTGATTTTCTATATCTTTAATTGTTTGTAGATATTGGCCCTTCTGGTTTTAAAAAATGTGATAAGCCAATGAGGCTTTGTTGTAAAATTAACGGTACTGTCTTGCTACTTTTTAAGTAAAGTACTATAACTTGAATCAGTATACATTTTAAAATTATATTCTCGCCCTGGGCGGTTTGGCTCAGCGGTTGGAGCATTGGCCTGCGGACCAGAGAGTCCTGGGTTTGGTTCCTGCTAGGGGCATATACCAAAAATTAAAAAAAATTTATATTCTCTTAAATTTCTACTAGAGTATAAATTTAGTAGGAAAAGACTCAGGGAATGTGAGGATTTTAAAATACTTTTGTAAAATGAATTCTTCAGCTACATGTAAATGGACCTAGATGCCTTTCTTTTTCTTTCTTTCCTTAGAGAGTCCCCAAAATACATTCAGAAACAAATATCTTATAATTGCAGTGACTTGGAGCAATCAAATGTGACTGAGGAAACACCTGAAGGTGAAGAACATCCTGTTGCAGACACTGAAAATAAGTAAGTGGTTTTATGTGTAGTGTTAATACTCCATCACTGAAGTTAGTTTGGATTTTTACCAAGAAAACCTGTAGGTTTAATGCTGTTATTTGATGGCTTATTTATTTATTTATTTTTTAAAGAATTTATTCTTTATATTTTCTTTATCGATTTCAGAGAGAGGGAGAGAGTTAGAAACATCAATGAGAGAGAACATTGATTGGCTGCCTCTTTCATACCCCTCATTGGGGATCAGGCCCATAACCTGGGCATGTGCCCTGACTGGGAATTGAACCGGGACCTCCTGGTGCATGGGTCGATGCTCAACCACTGAGCCATACCACCCGGGCTTTGATGGCTTTTTAAATAGGAAAGACTTTCATTGTACCCCAATTACTCTAATAGCATTTATTCAGAGGAGTGTTTTACACATGTATATATTGGTATGTTGGGCTGTATGCTTTGAAAAATAGAAATGGTTATTTCTATTTGAAATTACCATTGTTGTCTTTAAGGAAGATACATATTTTAGTAAAACCTGTTAGCCCTAAACACAAAAATTAACTATTGTAACCTCAAAATAGAGAATAGGAATAAGATGCCATGCGTTTTACCTAATTAACCTTAACTTGATAGAGATAATGATAGTAGATTTGTAAGAAATGGATCATGTAAATGATAGCTATCCAGAGACGTTGAATAGGTTAGGTGAGAACTAGAATCTGAAATTGGGCATTTCTAAAAATTAGACCAAATGGTTGAAATAAGATTTGCAGTGTTTAGAACTCATAGTTCAAAGTACTTTGGATTTTATAACTACAGTTTTGTTTTGAGACAGTTTAGAACTAGAAAACATTACTACTTTAGTTCCTCTATCTCTTTGAAACTTATTTTCCATCAACACTGAATTTGGCTTGTTTTAAAATATGTGAGGAGAGCAAAGGCCAGAATATGTTGTTCAGTAGCTTTATTAATCTTTTGAATTTTCTGACTTTTTAGGTAGAAGACTTGGTTTTGAAGTTTTTTAAAGATCAAGTTAATGCTGGTAGAAATAATTTAATGCCTTCCTCTACCTTCCTTCAATCTAAGCAGAAATTATATTTCAGTCATTTCTTACATAGTTTGTGATTTAAAGTCTTGCATTATAGATTATTTAGGTCAGTACTTCTTAACCAGGGTATATTCAAATCAATTAGGGAGTAGATGCTTTTCTAAACTTTGCTTTTTCTTTAGGAAGAATTGCTCTTACAGTGAACCACTACTAACGATTGAGGTAGCATAGTCCAAGGGTTTGGTAGAATAAGGAATAATAGATTTGCTATTGGAGAGAGTAGAAAAAATACGTGGTGTTAGGAGATGTGTTGAACTTAGGGTTATATAAATTCATTTATATGAAACTATATGGAATCATAATTTTGTTTGTAAACAATGAAATTGTGGTGAATGAGTTAAATGAGCATATGTAATAAGTACTTCACAATGTTTAACACAACTGTTGTACCTTTAATAAAGAGCCCATGTTTAGCCCTGGCCAGTTTGACTCATTGGTTAGAGCGTTGGCCCAAGGACTGAAGCATTGTGGTTTTGGTTCCCAGTCAAGGGCACGTACTTGGGTTGCAGTTTCAATCCCCGGGCCTGGTCAGGGTCATGCAGGAGGCAACAGTGGATGTATTTCTCTCATGTCGATGTTTCTCTCCTGCCCTCCCTTCCATTCTATTTAAAAATCAATGGAAAAATATCTTTAAGTGAAGATTGACCAAAAAAGAAAAAGGAGCCCATGTTCAAGTAACCTTGTGACCTGCAAAGATTATGAATATCTACCAGATGGAAATGATGTATTATTGATAGGGTACTGGAAACAAATTCTTGATTCAGGACCTGGGAATGAAATTGAGGATATTTGGACTAAAGGAGATTGTGATGATGGCATTCTATAGAGTAGTATCCAGAGTAGTGGAGAATCTGAACATAATATTGTATCATGTATATGGAAATACAAATTTAAGAAGCAGAGCTTGGCTGACTTTGATTCCCTCATATATAGTTTCCAGAGCTTTTGTTTTGTCTCACTTGATCCTTAAAACAACCCTTGAAGATGGGTGTCATGGTTCCGTGTGGCTTTGGCACAATTTATGAATAGCTAGTACTTTAAAAAAAATTTTTTTTATTGATTTTTAGAGAGAGAGAATGGGGGAGGGGGGGAGAGAGAGAGAAAAACATCCATGAGAGAGAACATTGATTGATCGCCTCCTTCATGCCCCCTACTGGGGATCCTGATCAGGAATTGAACTGGCGACCTCTGAGTGCATGGGTTGATGCTCAACTACTGAGCCACACTGGCTGGGCTGAGTAGCTAGTACTTTTTGTTGTTGTTTTGTTAATCCTCACCAAAGGGTATTTTTGCAATGATTTTTAGAGAGTGGGGATGGGGGAGAGAAACATCAGTTGGTTGCCTTCCACACGACATAAACCAGGGATCCTGGACCTCAACCAGGGCCCGATTGAACCACTGAGCCAAGCTGGCCAGGGCAGTAGTTAGTACTTTTTTTCTTAGTTTTCTCATTTGTAAATTGACATCTGGACCTGATAGCGAAATCTCATCAAGTCAATGTAAACATGAAGTTTTCAGATAGGATTAGTCGAGCAGTACAGGGTAGCATAGAAGGGGGAGATACTCGAGCTCTAAGGCTAACTGGATCATCTGCTATCTTTGGAAAGAAGCAGAGCTCCCAAAATAGCGAGCAATTTGTTTGACAATTGGTAATTGAGTTTAGACCAAAATAATGGATTTCTAGGCTCATGCTTGCTTTCTTGAAAAGGAGAAATCACAATATATAATAACTTTAATCTGAGAATTATATTTGGAAATAACTAATTTACTATTAAGTATTGAAACCAGTGTGTTGTGTGGAGTTTCATTGCTAGTGAAACCTCAGTGTCCTGTTCACACTCAGGTTGGTTTGAAAGTTAAGATATATAGAATCCAGCATTTGCATAAACCTGGCTTTTAAAGTTTGTTTTGTTTTTCTTTCATTGATGCTAAAATAAAGGCTAGAGGAACAGTTCTTTTATAGTGTAGAATATGAAGCTTAGTTCACAGGCATTCTAGATGATTATTTTTCATATATGTTATGAGCTACGTATTGTTGGAAATTAAACATTTAAGAGAAGTTAGGCTAAAGATTTTAATTACTTAAAGGCACAGTTTTAAGAAAAAGTGTGGTTTTAAGAAACGTGTATTTTAGCCCTGGCCGGGTGGCCTGGTTAGAGTGTTGTACCGTGCACCAAAAGGGTTTTGGGTTCGATTGTCAGTCAGGGCACATACCCAAGTTACAGGTTTGATCACTGTCAGGGCATATATGGGAGGCAACCAATTGACATTTCTCTCCCTTCTCTAAAAGCAATAAACATCCTTGGGTGAGGATTAAAAAATAAAAAAAGAGAAATGTACATTTTATGTTTGGTAAAGCCAATTCCAGATTGTATTACTTATAGATGATTGTTTAAAAGTTTATGAAGATGGCCCTGGCCAGTTTGGCTCAGCGGTTGAGCGTTAGCCTGCGGACCAGAGAGTCTTGGATTCGGTTCCCGCTAGGGGCCCATGCCATACAAATTAATTAATTAATTAATTAATTAATTAATTAATTAAAGATTGAGTTTTTAAAAAAAGTTTATGAAGACGAATTGTATTTTTCTCAGTTATCCACACTTTCACTCTTTCAACAGGCATTGAATTCCTGGTGTCTGCCAAGTTACACGTTAGCCTTTGGGTTGCAAAATTATGATCCACCCATCCTTGGATATTTCTCAAAAAGATTGACCAGCCAAGATTAACTTCCTTACTTATAAGTAATAGATTTTTGTCAGTCACCTAGTAGGTATAAAATTGAAACATCTTTTCACAGGGAGAACGAAGTTGAAGAAGTAAAGGAAGAGGGTCCAAAAGAAATGACTTTGGATGAGTGGAAGGCTATTCAAAATAAGGACCGGGCAAAAGTAGAATTTAATATCCGAAAACCAAATGAAGGTGCTGATGGGCAGTGGAAGAAGGGATTTGTTCTTCATAAGTCAAAGAGTGAAGAGGTAAAATCTAGTTGAGCTGTGACAGTTCAACACATTTATAATTTTTGGTTTAAAATTTCACATAATCTGTTTATTAAAAAGAAAGCTTTACAAAATAGGATCATTTGGGATAAGTGAATTGCTCAAAAAGGAAAATAAATTCCATTACCATATATTCCAAGAAATTCAGTCCTTCTATCAGCCTTTTTTTCAGTGTGGTAGTTCCTTCCCCTAAAAAAGCTGTTAGTCATTGTATGTCATGCTATTACTATGTTTCAGGAATATAGTCGGTCTTCAGAGTTGTGCTGTTTTTTAAAATCTCGCCTAATGTAATCATTCAAGGACTTGTATTAGATCGGAAGGTTGGCATTTTTATGTGGCTTAACCTAAAATAAAATGAGTGGCTGCATTCAGTTTTTGAAACTGTCTGCCTATGCCATATGTAATGGTCATGTCTCTTTATTGAGGAATGATGTGAAGACCAGAGAATTAATTTATAGATTTCCTTTATTTACAAAACATGGAAACTAATGAGAAAGACATGTTGGTGGCTTTTAATTTGGCAGCTTCTATTTAAGCCTTGGGGCATGTTCTTAAAGGAATGTACCAGTGATATATCCTTTTAGGGCTTGTGTAAGTATGAGATATTAGGCATAAAGTTAAATTAAAATGTTACAAAGGCAACCCATAATAAAAAGATTTGATATGATCTTATTATATTTTAATTTTCTAAAATAAAACAATAGCTGTGAAACAAACTTGGAAATACTTTGAAATAAAACAAGTGTTGAAGAGACATAAATATTTTTCTAGGTTTAGAGGTGATTTTAAAAACATTGAGTCTATAAAAATAGTATAAATGAGGGCATTGTCTTTTTTTTTTAAATCCTCACCCGAGGACATTTTTCCATTTTTTGTTCAGATAGAGTGGGAGGGATAGAAAAGAAGAGAGAGAGAGAAATATCGATGTGAAAGGGACACATCAAGTGGCTGCCACCCTCACGACCAACAAGGGCCGGGGACGAACTGCAACCGAGGTATGCACCCTTAGCGGGAACTGAACCCAGGTCTCTCTGGACCACAGGCTGATGCTCTTAACTGCTGAGCCAAACCGGCCAGGGCTGTCTTTTAAGTGTCAAGTTCTGTAGAAAGAAAAAATATTTTGCTTCATTAGAATGTTGGTTATTTTTTCATAGTTTTTGCAGATACAGTTGTTTTGTGTATCTGGGTAAAACAAATAGGATTTCTGATTAAAGAACCTTAAAAGTTTATCTTGGGAGATTGTTGAATTGATTATTAAACTACTTATTTGTTAACATGAAAAAGATCTATTGGATTGGACTCCTTTGAGACAATTATTCATAACTGTTTTGGGGTCCTGACAGAACTTTTATCCAGAACAAGTTATGTATAAAATCTGATAGAATTTTAGGTGATTCATTAATAACCTGAAGTCTCTTCATGCATTTTATAGACAGAAATAATTATACACGGTTATGTATATGGTTAGAAATTTTTGAAAACTGTAAAATGTGAAATTTGTTATGAATAACTTTGAAACCAGGACATTTTTATTATCAAGCCACATTTATATGCTTTGCTAATTTATCCTACTAGTTACTTAAAGATTAGGAATGTGTCCTCAACATCCAGACTTCCTTTATATTATTGTAGTAAAACCTTTTTGGTTGTTTCAATAGTATATTAATTTAGGCTTTTTTTTTTACATCTGTGCTCTAGAAACTTGTAAAAGTCTCTGTTGAATACATTGATACTGCTTTATAATAGCAAACATTTAAAAATTAGACAATTAGTATATATAATTGACTTTAATTTGCTAGCAATTTTGTGGGTTTACATTTATTTTTTAGGTTTCTTTAAAATAAAGAACCTATTGCCCTTAAATTAGGTTGGTCTGACTCTAAGGGATGGCATTTAATTTGGTTTTAGATGATTAAAGGGGCAAAGGCATGGATACAAATACAGCATTAATTTGTATTTTAAGGGTAATTATTAATGGTTGTAATATTATAAGATATTGAGAAAGAACAAACTATTCATATTCCTCCAGAAAAAAGTGTTTTTTATATAGATATATATGACAAAAATATATATACACATATATATAAATTAAAATGTAGTTTAACGTATAAAAAAGTTTCCAACTTGAAGGTTAAAATATTTAACCCAAATATGTAAGTTGTCGGATTAAGTATAAAATTCTGTGGCCTTTTTTTTTCAGACTGGGTTGTGTAGCTTAATACATAAATACAAAATAGGATCTGGATTTCACAAATATGATGACTTCATTTTTAAGATGGTTCCTTTGACCTATTTAAGGCGTGGTTTTATTTGGGCACAGCTTTTCAAAGTTTCTTTATGTAAAGATGTGGTTAACTTGAATCTGTAGCTCCGGTTTATATGAAAGGATATATAAAAGTTGTATATGAACAGAATGGCATTCTGAGAAGTCTGTACATGATTTCTTTTACTGATGGTTAGAAGAATATAAAGTGAAAGTTTTCTTTTTAACTTATAAAGAGATTCAGTATTATCAATAATAGGAACCTTACATGCTATCTATCCATGTCTTTATCAGGGATTCCTTTATGGGGAGTCCTAATCTGAAGGGCATATTTTAAATGTACTGCTAAAGATTATGATTCATTAGGTTTGAGATGGGGCACAGCCACTTGAGTGGTTGTTATTATATAGCTCTAATTGAGACTTGCCGTAATCACCTGTAATTTAATGTTAGGAGAATATGAAAGAGAAGTGCAAGGAATTCTTCCTCAAGATCACTATGGCTGATCCCAAAGCTTACTTATTACTTGTTGTATTTGTTCACAAAAGGACAGATTGGATTTTTGGTCTTTAGAAGAAAGCTGATTTAGACATTTTCAACATTACTTTCCTAGTAATTACCCAGTGGTCTTTACTTAAATTTTTAGGCTCATGCTGAAGATTCGGTTATGGACCATCATTTCCGGAAGCCAGCAAATGATATAACGTCTCAGCTGGAGATCAATTTTGGAGACCTTGGCCGCCCAGGACGTGGTGGCAGGGGAGGGCGAGGTGGCCGTGGGCGTGGTGGACGTCCAAACCGTGGCAGCAGGACTGACAAGGTGATTTTTAAAGACTTCTTTTGTCCTTTTAAGTAATTTGAGGCCCTCTTTTGGTAAACTCACTGCTTGAGGTCTTTTTGGGGACATAAGTAGAAGGAAAAAAGCTAGACATGTCTAAGAAACTACATTTTAGGCCCTGGCCTGGTACTCAGTTGGTTAGAGTATAGTTCTGATACACTAAGGTTTCGGGTACATATGAATGCATAAATAAGTGGAACAACAAATTGATGTTGCATGATTGCTCATGAGCTCTCTTTCTCTTTGTCTCTCTTCCTCTCTCCACCTGCACCCTTTCTCTCCCTTTTGCTCTCTAAAATCAAAATCTTTTTAAAAGAAATTACATTTTAGGTTATACTTTTGTTTGAAGTGCTTAAATAACTGTTTGAATAGTGCTGCCAGTAGAATTAAATTACCACCCTTTATTGAATACTTAATTAGGGGCTAGTCATGGTGTTGTGCTAGGTGTTTTATGTGCTATGTCATTTAATTTATGTTGACATCCCCATTTTACAGAAGAGGAATTCAACTACAGGGAACCAAGTTAATTCTTGGCCTTTGACAAAGTCTGCCTGAAATGACTACATCCTTCGCCTTGACTTCACTGCTTTTTAGGTCTCAGCTTAACATAACCTTTGTGTCCGTTGTATAATTGTGTGAAACTCACTAGATGATGATCTAGTGAACACATTTTTTAGTTCTTGATTTTTTTTTAAAACTTGACTTTTATGTAAGAGCTGGGATTCATTTTTGTCCTAGTTTTTGTAATCTTCAATGCCTTCCCTGTACAGTATGCAACACAACACGTTTTATGAAATATTTTGATACAAGCCCTATTAATTGATAGATTTGAGCTCTAGTCTGTCTGATGCCAAAGTTCATGCTTTTAATGTCTAGGTATTATTAAACTAAGTTATTAGAGAAAACCTTTTGGTTAGTTATTTGTCTCTTATGATCTATCTAGGATCTAACCATAATGTCTACCCGAATACTAAACACCTGATACACAAATTGGGGACCCACCTCCTTGACTGGGTCTGCCAATGTTTGATTATAGTGGTAACTTAAATATTACAGATTTTATGGTCATCAGTAACAATGTAGTGATATTTTGTTTCTGTTTCTTCTCCTGATAGTAGCAGGTGTTTTTAACAGTCAGTGTTGTGTATGTGGACCTTTTTAGTACTTTTTTGTTGTTGTTAGTTGTAGGTTGTAAATAGCAATTCACAGTTGGGTTTCATTATAACATTGTGTGCTGCTTAAATAATTGTAATCGGTTTCTTGGTTTGCTTTCAAATTGATGCCGTTGTTATGTAGCAAGTGGAGAGAACATAGGAATACTTAACAACAAAGTAAGAATCTACATATGTATCCCATATGAATCTACTTGTGTGATTTATTAGAAAAATAAAATAACCCATGCTGTTACTAAGGACTTTTCCTAGGTCTTGATAGAAACTCAGGACAAGACTCATAGCAAATATTTGTGGTCCTATTCTGGTCTATAATTTTGCTTTTAAAAGGTTTGACACATTTTTACTTAGTATTTTAACTTTAAGATTCTTTTAGAATTCTGTGTCTAAATGTAGACATTGGTGATTTATTTTAAAGATTTGAGAATTACTAATTTTGGTTTGTTTCTTTTTCAGTCAAGTGCTTCTGCTCCTGATGTAGATGACCCAGAGGCATTCCCAGCTCTGGCTTAACTGGATGCCATAAGACCACCCTGGTTCCTTTGTGGACCCAATTCTCTGAGGTTTTGCATGCTTAAGGATCCCAACCGACTAAGAAATTAAAAAAAAAAAAAAAAGACTGTCATTCATACCATTCACACCTACAGACTGAATTTTATCTGTTTTGAAAATGAACTTCTCTCGCTACACAGAAGTAACAATATGGTAGTCAGTTTTGTATTTAGAAATGTATTGGTAGCAGGGATGTTTTCATAATTTTCAGAGATTATGCATTCTTCATGAATATTTTGTATTGCTGCTTGCAAATATGCATTTCCAAACTTGAAATATAGGTGTGAACATGTGTACCAGTTTAAAGCTTTCACTTCATTTGTGTTTTTTAATTAAGGATTTAGATGTTCCCCCAGTTACAAACTGGTTTTAAATATTGGACATAATATCAGTTTTATTACCTGCTTTGCATTTACACACATGGTCAACTGGGACATGTAAACTCTGTCAAAATTTAAGTGGTGTGGAATACTAATGACTTTATGTATTTTAACTTAGTTTTAATATTTTCATTTCTGGGGAAAATCTTTCACTTCTCATGATAGTTATATGCTAAATCTTTATACAGAAATATCAGACTTGAACAAATTCAAAGCACATTGGTTTATTAATCCTTGATCCTGCATGGTTCATTAGGTTCAAATTGTAATTGATTGACTTTCAACTATATTTTAAAGTGTGTGACTTTCCCATTTTAAAAACCAAACTAGACACCTTACTGTCTATTAGAAAGTTGTTTAAGCTACTTATTGTTGATAAACACATTCTGTCAGGTGAAGTAGTTGGATGGATGTTGGGCTCTTCCCCCTCCAACAGGGTGGGTATAACAAATTTGGCTAATGCATAATATTTAAACTGCATCTGGTTACTTGGTATGATTTGTGTGTGTGTGAAAGGTCCCAAATCAAAACTGTATACCCATAATCAATGACCCTTTAACCCTTCCTATTCTAAAGAAACCAAAGGGCCTGGTTAGTTTGGTAAGATGCGGGAGTGTGTTAATTTTTGGAAATTGGAAAGCAGACAGCTTTACTTTGTAAGGTTGGAGCAGCACCATCCATGAAATATAAACCAAAAATCTTACTGTTTGCGAATTTCCTATATTGCTATTAGTTTTGGTCTTAAGATGACATTTGACTGTTCTACAGAAGGTGATAAGTATTTTTTACCTCTTCCTTCATTAGAAAATTAGGTTAGTAATGGATTCCTAAATGGGAGTGTCAACGCACTTAGTAAAACATACATGGAGAGAATGGTCAATAAACAGGTTTTCTAGGATATTTTTAGTCTTCTGCCATATTTATTGTTAAGCAGAAAAAGGAATTTTATTTACAGTTTAAAAGTTTTTTTGTCACTCATTAATTTTTAGTAATTTTTTACCTATGTGTGGTAATGTCCAATTTTTAAAATATTGGAAATCTTAAATCATAAATTGTCTGCTGCTTGCTGGTTAGTTCTCCTGATACTTCCAAAAGAGAGATTGTACAGTACAACAGTTATTCATTTGAATTAGAGTTATTAATCTAGTTACCTACTAGTTTGACATCTTAGGAAGGAGGTAATTGGTTTTAAATGATGGATAACTTGTGCTGGTGTTTTGGATCTTATGATGCTGAGAGTGTTCTGTACTGGTGCTAATGTCTAACATAATTTTATATTTACAAACATACCTGCTACCCAGAGGCAAGTATTAATTTAGTCCATATGGACTGTTGATCCCTCCTAAGTTAGTGTGTTTGAACTTGCAAGTATCTTAACTCATTTCTGGACATGTAACGTGTTTATAAACCTCTTGATTTCTAGCAACATATAGAAAACACCTGCTATTAAAAACACTTCACAAGTTCCACTCACTGTCAGCCATTGCTGGCATTCTGTCACTAGAAAATACACAGCAATATCTGATATGTTGCAAGCTTTCAAGATAGCCTGAACTTTAAAAAGTTGGTCCATTAGTTGTGTCTGATGGATGTAAATTTGCCTCCTAGTTCACTTTGTGTCAAGAGCTAAAACTGTGAACCTAATTTTCTTTTATTGGTGGGTAATGACGGAAAATAAAGGTTTTATTTTCATGCTCACTTCTTAAAAGTCATAAAAACAATCAAATAGGAACCCATTTATTGTCATGTGTTTTCTGACCTGTGTGTGCACCCCGAAGATAATGCTCATGCTTCATTTTCCCCTTATGCTTAGATGTTGTTTATGTGGGAGGGATGCCTATTTTCATGAGTATTATAATTAGAAAGTTGAATTCTTGTAAAATGAATTTCAAGGACTGACCTTACAATTGACGTTTCTTAGATCACATTTTGAATGCAGAGGTTAATCATACTGAACAGCACTGTGTTTTGAGGGGAGGAGAAAAGTGTTAAACCAGGGTATAATACTCTAAAGAAAATCCCCTAATGGATGCAGATCCATAAATGATAATGATGGCGATTGACTGTTTTAATGAACTTTTATCAATGATTTTAAATGGGAATAATGCCAGAACGTATTTCTTAAGAGATTTTCAGCTTGCATTGAAATGATTGGGTTATGGTTTCTTTTTTAGTTTAAATACTATTTTGAGACTTGTGTGGAGTTAATGAACACACTTAAAAATGTGTTATTAGTTTCTATACATCTAATTACTTTGTTTTATTTTAAAAGTGGAAGTAGGGCACATCATCTCCAGGGTTGTAAATATATTTGGGGCTTATTTTTTGGTGTGGGTTTGGAGGAAGTATATTAAGTACTCATTCTGAATGTATTATTTTTCTAATTGCTAGAGATGGTTGCACTGAAATAGAAAAATATTATATTAGGGAGTTGCATATGAAGTCTAAATACTATATATTGGACTTTAAAAACAATCTTCAGGGCACTAGCATTATGTGGAAGGAACCAACAAGTATTACAGGTTAAAAAAATTAAGGAGAAAAGTGAAATTGCTAGAACCTGATATTATGAATATCCCAACATTTTAAGTAACTGGTATAACAAATCTTGGGGCTCTCAGGTGCATGTAATTCTGCTTTTTTTAAAAAAGTAAAAAGCTGCTTAGAAAATAGATTCTAACACAAACATTTGTAATTCTGCTGAAATTAACATGTAAACTAGTGTTTATTGAGTCTGAACCTTATAAGCCAGTTAACTGGAGAAAGCCCAGAACTTGATTACCATTATGCTTTGCAGAGTATATCTAGTGACAAGGCAGTAAAATGATCTCTAATCATACTTCAGACCTAGTAATTAGTGAAGTAATTTAACATCATTTCCAAAATTTTCAGGTTTTATTGTTGAGGTGTAGATTGTCAGCTTTCAGAGATTTGGGTTCAATTACTATTTGCTCAGCCTGGGTTTACCTTGGACATTTTCTCCATTTGAGAATCTTACTTGATTTTGAAGTTAGAAAAGTAGGAAGTTTATATGAGAAGTGATTGGAATAAGTCTGTTTTAGGCTGAGAAAGGGATTCACTAAGTCAAAGAATATAATGAAAGGTGTAACTTAAAGAAAAGCTTAATTTCTGAAAGTAATTAGGATATAAAGGTAAATTATTAAAGCCATCAAGGTTTTGGCCACAGGAAAGTACTAGCATGGAAATGAGTGCCATTTAAATAAGTTCTATATCTAAGCCAGGGGTCTGCAAATTTTCAGCCTGTGGCTTGTTTTTGTACAGTCCCCGAGTTATGGATGGCTTCTACATTTTTTTAAAGGGTTATAGAAACAAAACTAGTTTACAAAGATGTATGTAGCCTACAAAGCTATTATCTGGCTCTTTACACAAAATGTTTGCTAAATCTTGATCTGAGCTATTACTCCTAGGTCAGCATATGAAAGTTCTTTTAAAGTAAAAGTTTCATTTTACAAATTAAATCATCTTACCCTGTGAGAAGTTGTGAAATCAAGTATTTTGAAGCACTTTTTTTTGCCTCTTCTAAGGATAAGGGTCAAAATATCTGGTAGCCATTTATTGAAGATGGTCTTGTTATTTTAAGAAAAGATTGTGTAGCTTGTAAATTAAGTATGTTCTGAAAGCTGTTAGGGAAAGTATAAATTTGCTATAAAAGTAAGCTTAATGCCATGGTTATAATTTCATGATTCACGTTTAGTGGCACTTCTTGTCACATAGTGCTAATATCTTTCAATTGTGATTAATTTTTTCATGAGATGAGAATTCTGAATGGGTTACAAAACAAATGTTTGTTGATTAACTTAATAGGTTGAGCTTGGACAGGAAGGAATGACTTCTGAGGACTACATTTCTCAGTTTTATTAGGGGACCTTCTGTTTGGGCCAAGTTTAGCTTGTGTGCCATTGATTATTTCTGTACTAAACTGGGAGTCAGTTGTTCACTTCTAAATGGAAGGAGAGAAAAGGTGAGAAATGGCCTATACAAGTTAGGAAACAATTTACCAAATTGTTTTTGCTTGAGGTGTTTTGTGGGTCCTTAGTGTTTTAAATCAGTAACCTTTGTCCCTTTTGTTTGCTGCCCATTTGGGAAGGTGTGGCTGTTTCTGGTGCACTTGTATGTGTATTCTAAGACTTGTGAGTTAAGACATAAAAAAGATGTGATAACATGAGAATTCTCATTCAGTATGGATTTTTAAAACCTATTCAGATAATTGATTCACATCGGGTAATGAGAATTGCTCTGAACTGATCTTGCTGTGGCTTTGATTCCTTAAATAGCTGCATTACTGGTATGGGAATATGAACAGTGAAGGGTCAATTAATATTCAGGATTTTGATGTTTGTTATTTGGTGAATTGAGTAGGGAAAATGGGAAGTAGCTTATCTTTAGGTATTATTTGTATCACTTTAATTGCAGTTGTGGCTGATTTTCTTTGACATATTTTAGGAACTTGAAAAGACCTCTGATTTGAAGAAATGGCATTGGTTTTTATCTACCTAGAATGAAGATTCTATATAAAGTGGTCTAGCTGAACTCAGTTCTTGATATTTGCCTAGGATTTTCTCAAATTGAATTGACTTTTTTTATTAGCTCAGTGTCAGAAATTTGGGAAACTTTTGCATGTGGGAATTTCTTGTTTCACACCATGGGTTTAGTAATCCATTGTGAAATGTTGCTTTGTTTGGTAACCACACTCTTGAGAATAACAGATGAGTACTTTTAGATATTTTGTGCTTAGAGGTTATTGATGACTCAAACACATCAAAGAAATTGGTAGATTCCCTCTCTACCCTCTTCAGTTTTATGGCTGAAAATGTTTAGGATTTAATAATTGGTTGATTAAACTAAACACATACCTTTTCAGAGGTAGACCCTTGTTTTCCTGGATATTCTGAATTTCCAGTGGAACTTTCTCTTTTTTTTTCCTTCAGTAAAAGAATTTTCCTACAAACTACAAATAATTTGATTTCAACTTGATTTTGTATACACAAAATGTGCATGTACAAGACTTCACTTAGGTGTTAAAGTCTAAGGAGTTTCAGAGGAATGCATGGGAAGACTGGATTGGATAAAGCTACTTTTAAGACATGTTCATTGTTACTAGTCGGGGGAAAAAAATCACATACCTAAGAGGTATAATGTGTACTCTAGACTACTGTATTTTGTTTATAACACTATCCCTTGAAGATTGAGTGGCACTTTGTCACTGTATCAATGAAATCCAGTAGATTAAAGTGTTTTTTAACAATTGGACTGACTTCCCTGCCTCTTGAGTCAAAGGTAGAACTGGAAGCCATGTTGACTGAAGTATGAAGTGCTTTGGATGTTGTGTAATGCTAAGAGAAAATACAGGTCATCCAAGAAAGAAGTTCTCTTCAGGAAAATTGGCAAAGTTTATTTTTAAAGTGCCACTATACTGTTGATTGAGGCACATAACTAGCACCTCCCAGTTACAGGAAGCATTAA